TTTTCCCCCTGCCGGGAGACGGTAACCTTATTACGGTTCTTGTACCCTGACGGTTGTAATCATAAGGTACTATACCTGCATCATCACGATGGTATCCGTAATCTTTGAAGATTGCCAACACAAATGGTCCAGAGGCTGGCTCCGACTATTTATAAGACTTAACTCATGACGTCACAACAAGTACTCGCTTTAAAGAATTAGTTTTCGCGAGTATCAAATATGGCTGTCTTAACTACTTCCGCCGAAGTTGGCAAAGTTATTTTGGCTTATTATGGAGATATTTCAAAGCCCACTTGAAGATGTAGATACTAAATATTGTCTTAGAAGCACGATATATAATTTAAGGGTAATTATTTAGGAAAAACAGAAATGTATTTCTGTTATTAAAATAAAACGATTTTGTTTATATGTAAATTCGGTGGGTGGGGTAACGTTATCGCACGTTTTGCGCTGTAACTCGGCTATTCCTTTACCGATTAAGACAAATAAGGTATCGTTGGAATCGTTGTAAGACAGACATCGTATCAGAGTATATATCTGATAAATATTTAAATTCTAAGTGGCTTTTAAGAATTAAAATGTTCTTTAACAGGAAACAATAAGTTTCTGGTATAAATCGACCATTTCTTCTCATTCAATAAATATACTTATGTTGATATATATATAAACATTAATTCTTGGAGGTTCGTTACATTACTCACTCTATTGAGTTAAGAGCGGGTGGTAGGGGAATATACTCACTCTACAGAGTTAAGAGCGGGTGGTAGGAGTAAGATACTCACTCTATTGAGTTAAGAGCGGGTGGTAGGGATAAGATACTCACTCTATTGAGTTAAGAGCGGATGGTAGGGGAAGATAATCACTCTATTGAGTTAAGAGCGGGTGGTAGGGGAAGATACTCACTCTATTGAGTTAAGAGCGGATGGTAGGGGAAGATACTCACTCTATTGAGTTAAGAGCGGGTGGTAGGGGAATATACTCACTCTACAGAGTTAAGAGCGGGTGGTAGGAGTAAGATACTCACTCTATTGAGTTAAGAGCGGGTAGTAGGGGAAGATACTCACTCTATTGAGTTAAGAGCGGGTGGTAGGGGAATATACTCACTCTATTGAGTTAAGAGCGGGTGGTAGGATAAGATACTCACTCTATTGAGTTAAGAGCGGGTGGTAGGGAATATACTCACTCTATTGAGTTAAGAGCGGGTGGTAGGGGAAGATACTCACTCTATTGAGTTAAGAGCGGGTGGTAGGAGTAAGATACTCACTCTATTGAGTTAAGAGAGGGTGGTAGGGGAAGATACTCACTCTATTGAGTTAAGAGCGGATGGTAGGAGTAAGATACTCACTCTATTGAGTTAAGAGCGGGTGGTAGGGGAAGATACTCACTCTATTGAGTTAAGAGCGGGTGGTAGGGGAAGATACTCACTCTATTGAGTTAAGAGCGGATGGTAGGGTAAGATAATCACTCTATTGAGTTAAGAGCGGGTGGTAGGGAAGATACTCACTCTATTGAGTTAAGAGCGGGTGGTAGGGGAATATACTCACTCTACAGAGTTAAGAGCGGGTGGTAGGAGTAAGATACTCACTCTATTGAGTTAAGAGCGGGTAGTAGGGGAAGATACTCACTCTATTGAGTTAAGAGCGGGTGGTAGGGGAAGATACTCACTCTATTGAGTTAAGAGCGGGTGGTAGGGATAAGATACTCACTCTATTGAGTTAAGAGCGGGTGGTAGGAGTAAGATACTCACTCTATTGAGTTAAGAGCGGGTGGTAGGGATAAGATACTCACTCTATTGAGTTAAGAGCGGGTGGTAGGGATAAGATACTCACTCTATTGAGTTAAGAGCGGGTGGTAGGGGAATATACTCACTCTATTGAGTTAAGAGCGGGTGGTAGGGGAAGGTACTCACTCTATTGAGTTAAGAGCGGGTGGTAGGGATAAGATACTCACTCTATTGAGTTAAGAGCGGGTGGTAGGGGAAGATACTCACTCTATTGAGTTAAGAGGGGGTGGTAGGGGAAGATACTCACTCTATTGAGTTAAGAGCGGGTGGTAGGGGAATATACTCACTCTACAGAGTTAAGAGCGGGTGGTAGGGGTAAGATACTCACTCTATTGAGTTAAGAGCGGGTAGTAGGGGAAGATACTCACTCTATTGAGTTAAGAGCGGGTGGTAGGGGAAGATATTCACTCTATTGAGTTAAGAGCGGGTGGTAGGGGTATATACTCACTCTATTGAGTTAAGAGCGGGTGGTAGGGAGTAAGATACTCACTCTATTGAGTTAAGAGCGGGTGGTAGGGGAAGATACTCACTCTATTGAGTTAAGAGCGGGTGGTAGGGGAATATACTCACTCTATTGAGTTAAGAGCGGGTGGTAGGGATAAGATACTCACTCTATTGAGTTAAGAGCGGGTGGTAGGGATAAGATACTCACTCTATTGAGTTAAGAGCGGGTGGTAGGGGAAGATACTCACTCTATTGAGTTAAGAGCGGGTGGTAGGGGAATATACTCACTCTATTGAGTTAAGAGCGGGTGGTAGGGGAAGATACTCACTCTATTGAGTTAAGAACGGGTGGTAGGGGAATATACTCACTCTACAGAGTAAAGAGCGGGTGGTAGGGATAAGATACTCACTCTATTGAGTTAAGAGCGGGTGGTAGGGGAAGATACTCACTCTATTGAGTTAGGATAAGATACTCACTCTGTTGAGTTAAGAGCGGGTGGTAGGGGGATATACTCACTCTACTGAGTTAAGAGCGGGTGGTAGGGGTAATTAGACATATGGTTCTTTACTGTCGAATAAATGGGTCTTACATGGCGGAATATCTGTGTCGAGGTATGTCAAATAAAATGATCTTACATGGCGGAATATCTGTATCGACATTTTTATATGCCCGAAAGAATTTATACCCCCTGACGTTCGTCCGTCAGTCCGTCTGTCTGTCCGCACTCACAGGACAGTAATTATGTGGCTAGAGGGACAATAGGTAACTGTTCTTTCTCTTTGATGTCATTCATTCCGTAATGCTTTTATGTGGCTATTTTCTTTTGCGTGGCTAAAAATAACAATAGAGAGAACAATAGAGTAGCCACATTATTACTCTCCTGTTAGAACGTCCGTTCGTCCGTCTGTCCGTCCGTTAGCAATTTGGTTTCCGGAGCATAACTTAAGTTCCATTTGGCCAACAATATTCAAACTTCATAGGATGATTGTCCATATTTGGAAGAAGACCCCTATTGATTTTTGGGTCACAAGGTTAAAGGTCAAGGTCACTATCACCTTAAAACTGAAAACAGTTTCCGGAGCATAACTTAAGTGACGTTGGGCCCACAGTGTTCAAAATTCATAGGATGATTGTTCATATTAGGTAGAAGACCCGTTTTGATTTTGGGGTCACAAGGTCAAAGGTCAAGGTCACTATTACCTCAAAACTGAAAACAGTTTCCGGAACATAACTTAAGTTCCATGTGGCCCACACTATTCAAACTTGATAGGATGATTGTCCATATTGGGTAGAAGACCAGTATTGATTTTGGGGTCACAAGGTCAAAGGTCAAGGTCAATATTTCTTTAAAACTGAAAACAGTTTCCGGAACATAACTTAAGTTCCATGTGGCCCACAATATTCAAACTTCATAGGATAATTGTCCATATTGGGTAGAAGACCCGTATTGATTTTGGGTCACAAGGTCAAAAGTGAAGGTCACTATTACTTTAAAACGGAAAACAGTTTCCGGAGCATAACTTAAGGTCTATTTGGCCCACAATATTCAAACTTCATAGGATGATTGTCCATATTGGGTAGAATACCCCTATTGATTTTGTTGTCACAAGGTCAAAGGTCAAGGTCACTATTACCTCAAAACTGAAAACAGTTTCCAGGAGCATAACTTAAGTTTCATTTGGTCCACAATATTCAAACTTTATAGGAGGATTGCTTTTTGAAGGAGGTAATACTTTATTTAATTTATGTAATGTCTTACAAATGCTTTATCCGTACTAAAAAACAACAACAAAAAACAAAAAACACTTTCGGGCATATAATGCTCCGCCTAGCGGTGCTCTTGTTTTACATTTTAATGTACTGTCTATATTATCAACACATCTGAAACAATATATATTCATTATATACAGTTTTACAAATACTTATTTATCTTACATTTAAAATACTTTGTGTCTTACCTGTTAGTTTCTTTGATGATTTTTTAATCATTTTTATTTCATTTTTTCTTCCTTTTTGATCATTTCTTTCTTATTGATTTAAACTTGTTTATGTAACTCTTTTTTGTCTGATTTTTATCTTCGTGTTTAAAATTTTAATTCAAAAACGTCCATAAAAATACATTTGTTGCATGTTTTTTAATATATGTTTGATCGTGTATAATATAATGAGAAGTTTATTTAAGGTAACGACAGATACATCTGGTGGATGTACGGATAGATTCCAGGGAACATCAGCATCTTGTCCTATAGCAGCAGCAATCATTGCACTCGCTCTAGAAGCCAAGTAAGTTATTTCACAAGTGTATTTCCATGGGAATCATTACGAATTTAATTTTAGATTACATATATAGTAAAGTCATATAATCTATTAATTTATTTCATTTTCAGTCTGTACGTTATATAAAAAAAAATTAAACGTCGGCCAAGACTTTGATACATTTGTTTAAGTTTTAAGTGATCATTAACAATTTTTGAAATGGTTTATTTAGTACAAAAGATCGTGAAAGCATTAACATTATTTTTTCTTTGTTTGTGTGCGTGTGTGTGTGTGTGCGTGCGTGCGTACGTGCGTGCGTGCGTGCGCGCGCGTGTGTGTGTGTGTAAATTTTATAAGCCAATATGTTTTATATTGGACGGATGTTGTAAAGGGGGACTGTCAACCCCTCTCAGCAGATACAGTATAAGCAGTATATCATAAAATTGATGATTTACTTAAAAATATTTGAGAAACGATTTGTTTAGTTAAAATCTGTTTTATACAGCCAAATGCAATATTTTTACGACAAACAGCAAACAAACAAATATTAGAGAATTGTATTTTTGTTAGACATTTGTCAGAAACTGACAAAACTGATAAAATCCACGTCAGATACGACGTCATTGATTAAATTACATGGCGTCAAGTCCGTCCACCTTCGCTATACAATTTGACTTAAACTACACTAGAAAAAAATTATTTGATTTATTACTTTTTACATAATATTGATTGTATGTAATTTTGTATTACAGCCCATCACTTACATGGAGAGATATACAACATTTAATTGTAGAAACATCCACATCAGATGGTCTAATTAATGCTAATTGGCACACTAATGGTGCTGGATATAAAGGTATTACCAGTATATGTCAGCATATAGCTATATATTGTTGTACTTTATATTGTTATTAAATCCATCTGATGAGTGATATAGAAACATTCGAAGAACTTAATGGAGAATAAATATATTTCTTGCCAGGCCTCTAAATAATAAACATAATTTATTATGTTTTTTATTTACTCTGGTAAAATGGACACATTTTTGCTGCAAAATTTCATTTATTTGAGGACTAAATGCTTCACGTATTAGATAAATTACATATTCGGCTTTGTATTTTCCATTTTGCATTTTGTTTAGTGTTTTTGTAATGTAAGGAAATATTCAATCCAACTTACAACATCAAACCAAGATAAATATTACTAAAGGTAATGTAAAATAATCAAAGCACTGAAGATACTGATGGCAGAGTCTCTCGAGAAGTACAGAAAAAAATTATTTTAGACAGAAAAATCGTTTTCTTATTTATTAATGAATTTCACTTTTTTACTTTTTCTTTGCCAAAATTAGAAAGACTGACAATTGTGTCAGTGATTGCAAGAAAACGGGCTACGTCCTTTTTATATTATTGAGGCGCATTGAGGTAACATGCTAGTTCAAGGGTTGGCAATACCCTCTACCACCCTGACAGCCATGCGTTATTTATTTTATTATATCGAAAGACCTACAACTACAATATTTATAAAGTACGCAGTCAAGAAAATGAATAGAATACACATCATCATCTTTACAATTTAATTTTGTTCAAAACAATAAACTTAACAAAATTAGTTCAAGAATGATTTTAACATTTTTACATAAAGTTGAGACGTTTAATTCTTTAATTATCAAATTTTTCAACTATGATATGCAGTTATGAAAGTTTGTGAACAATAATTTCTATCTATTTGATAGTGATCCATATTTCGATCAAGTTATTTTTCTTTGTTATGGAGTTATGCAAGAGGTATGTGTCCCAGGGTGATATTAGAAATATTTCCCGGGGAACATATCCTAGGAGGGTGATATTCAATCAGAACACTATGGGAGTTTTACATTGAAGGATATATTGAGGTATAATAAAAGGAAATAACATTTCATTGCTTCGGAAGTCAGACTAAAGGAGCAATTAATGTATTGATAAACATTTATAATTGCTTTTCAACATTATATGTATGCCCCCTTCGAAGAAGAGGGGTATATTGTTTTGTTAATGCCGATCAGTCTATAGATCTGTCTATCGGGACGCTGATTATCTTAAAAACTATTTATCACAAAGTATTCATATTTCACTTCCTGACCGGTTATAACAAGTAGATAATCCCTATTAATTTTGGGGTAACTAAGCCAATGGTCAATGTCACAGTGGTTTCCGCTCATTATCTTAAAAACTATCTATCACAAAGTCTTCATATTTCACAGCATGATTGGTTATAACTAGTAGATGACCCCTATTGATTTTGGAGTCACAAGGTCAAAGGTCAAGGTCACAGGGGCAATCAATGTCAAAATGGTTTTCGCTCATTACCTTGAAAACTGTTTATCACAAAGTCTTCATATTTCACATACTGATTGGTCATAACTGGTAGATGACCCCAATTGAATTTGGGATCACTAGGTCAAAGTCACAGAGGCATATAATTTCATAATGTTTCCGCTCATTATCTTGAATACTATTTCTTACAAAGTCTTCATATTTCACATATTGATTGGTCAAAGCTAGTAGAAGATTGCCATTGTTTTTGGGGTCAGTAGGTCATAGGTCAAAGTCACAGGGACCTTTAATGTCAAAATGGTTTCCGCTCATTATCTTGAAAAACGGTCACAAAGTCTTCATTTTCACATATTGATTAATCGTATTTAGTTAATGATCCCTATTGATTTTAGGGTCATTAGTTCAAAGGGCAAGGTCACAGAGGCCTTAAATGTCATAATAGTTTCCTCTCAATATCTTGAATAATATTTATCACAAAGTCTTCCTATTTCACTTATCAATTAGACATAACTAGTAAATGATCCATACTGATTTTGAGAACTTTAGGTTAAAGGCCAAGGTCAAAGGGGCCTTAAGTGTCAGAATGGTTTCCACTTATTATCTTCTAAACTACTTATTATCAAGTATTTGTGGTTCATTTTTTAATTGAGCATCACTAGAAGATTACCCCTTTTTATTTTGAGGTCATTTGGTCAAGGTCTCATTAACCTTGAAAGTTAAAATGGTTTCTGCTTACCGGTATTCTCTTGACACTAATTAGTTACAAAATCTTCATATTTCACATAATGATTGGCCGTAACTAGTAGATGACCTTTTTTGATTGTGGGGTCACAAGAGAACACTTCCATGTACCATTTATGGTATATTTCTATAACAAAAATACCAACAGTATGAGTCAAGGGTTAAAAAGGGGGGCATATGTGTCGTTCGACATTTCTTGTTTCTTTCTGTATGGCTTCTATTGCAAACAGTAATTTTATTACATTATAATTATTTATCCTTGAAATATGTTAAACATGAAATGGTATGATAACAGTTTAAACAATTCACTTATCAAAAGTCTGTAAAAATGAAACTTATTGAAGCTGATGTTTTTTTAAATAACAATGGCTTAGTTGCATATTTTGTCAGCATCTTTATAATATATATTCGTAATTAAACCTCTAAGTTATTACATAGGCTATGACAATCTTAAAATTCAACTTTTTATGGCTACAGACTGCCAGTGTTTATCATGACATTATATACATATAAACATAGCTTCTAATATACACCACCAGCGAGGCCACATAAACATGATCTGTCAGTTAAAATATTTTGATTGTTGTTATATAATCAGCTCCACATTGACCGTTTGCTTTTTTGTCAAGTAATTTACTGAATTTTGACCAACCTATAGATTAGATTTATGTTCATGTCAGTGATGATGTAGCAATCAGTCATATAAATGTCATGTGGTCAATATTCATTTTTCGTAATTTGTTACGAATATCATTTTATGTATATATATATGTACATATATACATACCACCACACAGTCCAATTACGGCACAGCGCCTAGCAGAACAGTCATGAAAGCATAGCCACTGCTCATCCACCATCACAAAAATGATGGTTTCAGAACAGCTTTATATACAGTCACAAACTGCACTACACATTGAAACAGGCTCAACATTCGCATATATAGAGTTCGCATATATGGTTCTGAAACCATCATTTTTGTGATGGTGGATGAGCAGTGGCTATGCTTTCATGACTGTTCTGCTAGGCGCTGTGCCGTAATTGGACTGGCATATCGATGTGGTGGTATGTGTGTATATATTCTCTCATTTCTATAATAATTTATCTGCTGCACACTTGTATCTTTATCTGATCCCACGTAGGATATATACTTATCTGTCTAAATTCATTGTATATATATATATGTTTTTAAATAGTTATATATATATATATATATATATATATATATATATATATATATATATATATATATATATATATATATATATATATATATATACATATATATATATATATAAGCAAAAACGCTATTTAAATTTGCCGTAGCTTTCGGCCTTGCGGCCTTCTTCAGCAGCATTTATTTCACATACAAATATATCAAACAAAACAATGGAAGTGACGTAACGTCAATGAACGACGCCCGCCGTGGCGTTGGTTGCCGTCTGCCGCGTTATTCTTTTGTATTAACTCCATACGGTCTATAGGTTCTTAATTTATTTTTCCACAAATTTTCTATTGTTTTTCTGTATTGGTCATTCCCGTATAGCTTTTCCAGCCCCATTATCGAAAAATCTTTAACTGTGTGGTCATTCGTGTAAAAATGCGCCGCTAACGGATCGTTGTACTTAGTTCGTATTCTGGATAAATTTAGAAGGTGTCTTTGGTACAACGTATCCCCTGTTTCTCCAACATAAATATAACGTTCGCAACGCTTACAATAAACTGCATACACAACATTCGTAGATTTGCACGTGATCTGATTTCGAACCTTATACGAGGCCCCGTTCACACCAATGAATGTGTCTGCTTCAATAACGTACGGACAAATCGCACACTTTTTGGATCTGCAAGGAGCACAGGAATTCGGCTGTTGAAAAAATAGTTTATTGTGTTTCTTATGAACGAGAATGTCTTGTAGATTATTATCTCTTCTAAATGCCGCAATTGGTGGATTCGGGAATATTTCCTTCATTTTATCTGAGGTGTGTAATTCAGGTAGGTGTTTTCGTACTATTTGTCCTACATTCGGGAGCGCTCTGGAAAATGTCAGTACCAAGGGGATTCTTTCAGTGTTTTCTTTATCTTCATTATACTGTAATAGGTCACTTCTTTTCTTACTATCTACTTTATTTAATTCTGTTTCAATATGTCGATCTTCATAGCCTCGTTTCTGTAACTGAGTTTTAATATTTTCTCTATGTTGTTTGTAAGTCGATTCATTAGTACATATTCGCTTAGCACGGAGGGCAAGTCCATATGGTATTGATTTTTTTGTCGATTCCGGATGAGACGAATTTTTATGCAAGTACAGGTGTTTATCTGTGGGTTTAGTGTATAGGTCTGTTATTAAAATGCCATTCTGAATCTTCGTCATTACGTCGAGAAACTCAAGTTTTTCAGCTGAATATCTTAATTCTAATTTTATTCTTGGATGAAGGTTATTCCAAGCTCATGGAATGTTTTTAACGACTCGATACCGTGAGTCCAAAGGCCCCAAACGTCATCAACATACCGGAAATACTCAAGCGGAAGTTTATCTGTTATTGTCATCAGCTGTGATTCCCATGATCCAAGATATGTAGATGCGTAATTCATCCCTAATCGTGAGCCAATCGCTGTTCCTTCTGTCTGCGTAAATTTTCTTCCATCAAATGAAATAGTGTTATTTTCAAGGACAGTGTCCATCATATTAAGAACATCTTCTGTGGGTATGTTAGGGTTGGCACGTTGATTTAATGCACGTGCAACCGCATCTCGTGCCTCTGCCCGTGGGACACTTGGGTACAGAGCTTTCACGTCTAAACAGAAAAGAATTGTTCCTGCCGGAAGTGGTTGTTTAATATTCTCTAATTTTCTTAAGAAATCAGTGGTGTCTTTAATATATGAAGGAAGTGATGTCACATGGGCGCGTAGCTACGTAGCAGAATGGCATTTTAATAACAGACCTATACACTAAACCCACAGATAAACACCTGTACTTGCATAAAAATTCGTCTCATCCGGAATCGACAAAAAAATCAATACCATATGGACTTGCCCTCCGTGCTAAGCGAATATGTACTAATGAATCGACTTACAAACAACATAGAGAAAATATTAAAACTCAGTTACAGAAACGAGGCTATGAAGATCGACATATTGAAACAGAATTAAATAAAGTAGATAGTAAGAAAAGAAGTGACCTATTACATTATAATGAAGATAAAGAAAACACTGAAAGAATCCCCTTGGTACTGACATTTTCCAGAGCGCTCCCGAATGTAGGACAAATAGTACGAAAACACCTACCTGAATTACACACCTCAGATAGAATGAAGGAAATATTCCCGAATCCACCAATTGCGGCATTTAGAAGAGATAATAATCTACAAGACATTCTCGTTCATAAGAAACACAATAAACTATTTTTTCAACAGCCGAATTCCTGTGCTCCTTGCAGATCCAAAAAGTGTGCGATTTGTCCGTACGTTATTGAAGCAGACACATTCATTGGTGTGAACGGGGCCTCGTATAAGGTTCGAAATCAGATCACGTGCAAATCTACGAATGTTGTGTATGCAGTTTTATTGTAAGCGTTGCGAACGTTATATTTATGTTGGAGAAACAGGGGATACGTTGTACCAAAGACACCTTCTAAATTTATCCAGAATACGAACCAAGTACAACGATCCGTTAGCGGCGCATTTTTACACGAATGACCACACAGTTAAAGATTTTTCGATAATGGGGCTGGAAAAGCTATACGGGAATGACCAATACAGAAAAACAATAGAAAATTTGTGGAAAAATAAATTAAGAACCTATAGACCGTATGGAGTTAATACAAAAGAATAACGCGGCAGACGGCAACCAACGCCACGGCGGGCGTCGTTCATTGACGTTACGTCACTTCCATTGTTTTGTTTGATATATTTGTATGTGAAATAAATGCTGCTGAAGAAGGCCGCAAGGCCGAAAGCTACGGCAAATTTAAATAGCGTTTTTGCTTATATACGGCAAGTTAGAGATTTTACTTATATATATATATATATATAGTTGTGTCTTTGTCTGTTATATATGTGTTATATTTCTCTACAGTCCGATATACAATCCATTATCCTATATCTTTCCTATTTTATTTCATTTCATCATCTTTTCATCATAACAACTAATAACTTATATTTCATTTCGAGATAACTTGCATGCCGGGCCTCAGTTTTTACATACTTCCCGGAAAAACCATCCCACGCATGCGCATTTTGATAAATATATTTCTGAGGTTTGCGCCAGAAATTGTTTCATGTTATTTGTTAAATTATCAATGCGTTTGTTTATTCCTTTATTACCTTCAGGTAATTTGAATATTTTCATTGATCATTTATATATTTGGGAGCTGAATTTATTTATGCACTTTGATGAATATACTTCTAAGGTTTGCGCAAGAAATTGTTTCTCTTTATTTATCAAATTATCAAGGCGTTTGTTGGCATAAACAACAATTCTTTCATAGAAGAAGGACCATACGACATAAACATACTAGATAAACATTATGAAAGTGCCATATGAAAATGAAATGTGTCATTCCATTGACGTTTTTTTGTTCGTTTCTTTTTGTTTTTGTTGTTAGTTTTTTTGTGTTTTTTTTTACAGCGAATATTAAAATGACTAAGGACAATCGTAATCGTTGCGTAGTAATGCGGATAAACTTTGTACAAACATAACAATTTAATACCATTGTCGCGCTATATATTACAGATTACCCACCGTAAATAAACGTAAAGAAGCGCATGTAAAGTGATTCAATATGGAGAAAACCAAGTTTTTTTTATTATTTACAAATAGCAAATAGGACGTGTTTTTTTTCAAATAAGAATTGCTTTAACTTGTGAATGCCCATAATTTGTATTGAACATGTTTATTAAATAGCTTTTCTACGCTTTTTGGCTACAAACCGCCAGAGTAAGGTCTTAAAATACGAATGTCATAGCTTCCCAAAATATGTTTTATTTAGTCACATAAGGAATTGGTTTTTCAGTTAGTCATACGTTTGGGTTTGGTATATTAAACGCCGACGGAATGGTTGAAGCCGCACTATCTTGGCAAAATGTTCCTTCTCAAGTTGTGTGTGAAAGTGAGACTAAAAGTGTTTATAGGTAATAATAAGTGTGTGATTTTTAATTTATCAGTCCATTCTGACATTAATATTGTTTTAATTCATTGTTTTAGTCTGACTGAAGTAAATAACATTATTCCTTTGATAATCTAATTAATCATCTAATCCCATCTGTTTACTAAGGTTATTGTTTTTGTGATAGAGGATATCTCTTACAATGAGTCAGTTCAAGTCTTAAAGCACTCACAGGTTAGTGTAATCATATGACACTAGTATAGCAGCATACATTTTCTTCTGTCACGGTGTTTCACATTTCTGAAATGAAAACCATATTGTATGTATAGACCGAGTCCCCTATATTTGTTATTTACGTTGTGTTTCGTTCCATGTCATATTTTAGTTGCTAAAGATCCGTGTATAGGTATAAAGTTCTACAAGTTAGATTCTTCATGTTTCAATCATTTTTTTTTATAATAACAGCAATATACTAGAGGAAAGTTGTTATCATTGTTATTTCTAACATTTTATTTCATGAATATATTTTATAAACATAGGATAGAATGTCAAGTAAAAAAATGAATATGTTTGACATTGTTAGAACAAATTCATTACAAACAAATTTACAGCCCAAATTAAGAATAGGATTTAATAGAAGATTTAATTGATATATCAGAGAATCGACAAATGGTGTCTACGTCATTGATGAGCACGAGAGTAATGGTTGCGCCGGAAGTGTATTGTATGTAGAACATGTAGAGGTTGTCATGACATTCCATGCTACATACAGAGGCTCTCTACAAGTAGGTACATTCTATTCTCGTCCCGATAACTAAGTAAGAATTTATTACACATGTTATAAATCTAATAGTTTAAATACAAATACTATAGACTATAATTGTATCTAATTCTAACTCTCGATAGTATGATTTGTACTATTGTATCCTTTAGAAAAAAAAATCTTATATTCAAAACGTAGTGCATTAAATTGCAAAAGTAAATATGACAAAAAGAGCAGAAAATGTTGACATCAACGTACTATACTGAGTATCAAAATAAATAATATGTTACTGCTATTAATAAAGATAAAAACACTTATAAGTATGTAATATCGCTTTTCAGGACATAAAAATAACTAACTTTCACTTAAAATATGATTATTTCAGATAATGCTAGTGTCACCGTCCGGCACTAGGAGTCGTCTGCTACGACCAAGACGGTTCGACACATTTAATGGAGCTACAGATTGGACATTTATGACAGTACATAACTGGGGAGAGCTGGCGTCTGGTACTTGGATGATACAGTTAGAAACTTCTGATTCAACAACTGGTACCATTTTTTTGTTTCCCTCCAATTTAGTCTGATTATTCCGATGTATCGTTGCTTACATTAGGTCAAATTTCTCATTGATCACCTTCACCTCCTTTTTCTTCAATGGGTCGAGTACAAAAATAATAATACGAATAACTTTTTCTTAAACGTGCATAATTAAGACAAATCATAATTTAGGTTAAAATAATTGTGTTTCCCTATTTTATATTTTGATTCATCTATTCCTGATAGTGAAGATTTGGCTCTTTTTGGTGTATAGTAAATTTGTTTCGATAATCATTTTCTCTCACCATGCAGATAAAGTTTGAGAAAATTTTCTGATCTAGCTTAATTTTTTCTTTTAATTCAAGTCGTTAAAAGCCCAGAGATGCTGACGGCTAGGATACCAATAGCTCGACTATGTTTCCGTTATATTTGATGTATTTCTAATTAAATATTCCATACAGATGCAATCTGTCCTCGCATTCAATAAAAATATCGTTTTCTTCCTGCTGTTGGTTACATAATTATTTTTTTTTGTATTTAGATCACGTGTTGTTGATGTTAATAAAGAAATTTTGATGTTGGTATAATACAGAATACAACCAGTACTATACTGTATGTAAGAAAATATAAGTTGATATAACCATGACTCTCTGAAACAGTGCATTTTTTAGAAATTTGGTTAAGTGTACATTCATTTAAGTATTGTGAAATTCGGTTAAATATGATTTCCTCATTTGCCGCCATTGGCAGTGCTCAGGAGAGCACCAAGAAATCGGAGACATTCGGAGTGTTTTCTTTATTAACTTTTCAGTTTATTGTAGTTCTCATATCTTTTAGATTTTGGTCTGGACACCTGGAAACTTATATTGTACGGTACTGAGTCAGCGCCTGCTAACAATCCTCAAGGTGAGATACCTTGGGTTTTTTTCTTTCTTTTCTTGTTAGCATGAAATGGGTATTGTCCCTTTTAGGCCTATACTTTTCTTATATTATCTCAAAACTGAACATTAACCTGCTTAAAAGTAGATGGAAATGTTTCGGTATTTACGATACATCCATAGTCGACTCCGCTTATAACGAAATCAATGGGACATTTAGATATCGTTCGTTATATCCGAAGTTCGCTGAAAGCCTTAAGCTGACTTGTTTTGGGTAAAAGCCATACCTGTCACCGGTCACCTGTGTAATCGGTATTTTACGACAGCGGCAATTTTATGCGGGGCATTTTATTTAACAATATATCATTTACATGTATTTGATTTAGTGTAGATGAAAATGGAGTCGACTTTGCTGTCTTTTCTTTTTCGTTTCAATTCTGGAAATCTAATATTTTGAATCTTCAGCCCAAGTTTCAAGAGAGCCTGTATGCGACGAAAACGGCAACACTGGGACAATACTTGGAGGTGTCCTTGGTGGAGCAGCCCTGTTGGCGGTCACAGCGGCATTAGTTTATGTTTTTGTTATCAGAAAACCTTTTAAAGATCCTACAGTATTCCCAGATGTACCTGCGCGTACAAATGATTAAAGTCAGTCGTTATAAGATATGAATTTATATAATATTTGAATACTTCCTGATCAAACTGCTTCAAGAACGACGAAATAATATGAATATATTATGTTTCACGTTGTATTTTACTGACATTTTAAAACAACCAAGTATATTGATAAAAAAAGTTTACAATTTGTGTTGACATTTGTATATTTAAATAAATGTATTCATATACAGTAAACTGTGTTTTCTCCAATGGTTATGGATGTTTGATTTTGGTTATTGTCCCCTGCCTTTTCGAAGAAAAAAGGGGGATATAGAAATAGGCTCCGTCCGTCTGTCTGTCCGTCCGTCTGTCCGTCACACTTTCGTGTCCGGTCCATAACTTTGTCATTTATCAAAGGAATCTGAAATAACTTGGCACAAATGTTTGTTATAATAAGACAATGTGTCATGCGCAACAACCAGACCCCTACCTCCAGGGTCAAGGTCGCACTTGCTCATTCAAGGTCAACATTGTCTATTTGAGGGTATATGTCGTGTCCGGTCCATAACTTTCTTATCTTTGAAGGGATTTTGTAAATACTTGCCACAATTGTTCACAATAATGAGACGATGTGTCATGCGCAACAACCGGTCACCTACCTCCAAGGTCAAGGTCACACTTGGAGGTCAAAGATTAACATAGTCTGTTACAGGGTATATTTTGTGTCCGGTCCATAACTGTCATTTATTAAAGGAATCTGAAATAACTTGGCACAAATGTTTGTTATAATAAGACAATGTGTCATGCGCAACAACCAGACACCTACCTCCAGGGTCAATGTCAAACTTGCTAATTCAAGGTCAACATTGTCTATTTGAGGGTATATGTCGTGTCCGGTCCATAACTTTGTTATCTTTGAAGGGATTTTGTAAATACTTGCCACAATTGTTCACAATAATGAGACGATGTGGCATGCGCAACAACCGGTCACCTACCTCCAAGGTCATGGTCACACTTGGAGGTCAAAGATTAACATAGTCTGTTACAGGGTATATTTTGTGTCCGGTCCATAACTTTTTCATAGATGAAAGGATTTTGCAAATATTTGCCACAAATAGTCACTACAATAAGACAATGTGTCATGCGCAACACCTGCATCCCAACCTCCAAGTTCAAGGTCACACGTAGAGGTCAAAAAGTAATAAAGTCTGTTTTAGGGTATATTTTGTGTCCGATCTAGAACTTCTTCGGCATTTTGAAATAACTAGGCACAAATAGTCACAAAAATAAGATGATATGTCAATTACAACACCTGTATCACCTTCCACCAAGGTCAAGGTCACACTTAGAGGTCAAAGGTTAACAGAGTCTGTTAAATGGTGCCCCGTCCATAACTTCTTCATAGATCAAGGGATTTTGAAAATACTTGGCACAAATAGTCACAATGATAAGATGATGTGCCAGGCACAAAACATTGGTCCCTACCTCCAAGGTCACGCTTAGAGGTCAAAGATTAACATAGTCTGTTATAGGGTGTATTTTATGTCCGATCTATAACTTCTTCAAAATTCAAGGGATTTTGAAAATACTTACTCAAATACGTTATCATTTCCGGAAAATGCCCCGATTTTAATATTTTCAGCGGTTATTCTAGCCAGAATGGGCATGAATGCTTAGATGCCGACATATTACAACTTTTTAATGTCAGTGATTTCAGTTAATATACATATATGTAAACAAAACAGTGAATTTTAGTGAAGAAGCCGTACGTTACCACGATCAAACCGGTGGAAAATTCTTTCGCTTCGAATCTGGTGACGCGCATTCCAGAAGAAGTACGGGACGAAACTTCATGAAATAAATTTCTGGGTGTCAGGAAAATTGTGGAGAAGGTTGTTATATGTACCTTTACACAAGAACATCACGAATTTCAGAGAAAAAAGGGAAAAACCTACTTTTTGGCTGCATCCGCCATCTTGTTTGTTTGGGTAACGAACGGCGTGATTCCTCCCCTTGTAACCACTCGCCATAATAATACTTTAATTTATTTATTATAAATATACATGCATAATAAGTACTATAATATAGTAATGATATGGTTATAAAGATATTTATTTCGTGTACAAGTTATGTTTTTATTTTCAAAATATGTTAGAGAATAATATGACCGTTATAAAATAAGATTCTATTCTAAATATTGGCATCATTGTAACAAAATGTATTTTTACCATAATTCATGCGGTGTTGAGGTATAACTATTATGCGATACAGATCGAAAATGGGTGCAAAACCTTAATAATTTTAATAAGAAAGCAAAGGTACTGTACATTTATTCTGGGAATATCTGTATATACAACACCATAAGAATGAAGTGTTGAAGTACAGCAATAGTAAGAACGATATATTGATAAACATGTGATGCATGATAATAATTTAAACAATTACATACATTTACAAGCAACATACAACATATACAAATGTTAAAACAAATCAATGTTTAAAAATTACAAGTTCACATATTGAACTTTAACAAATAATAGCGTTAAAATGACAACATGGAAACATTTAATACATTTTCACCCGAATAACGACTAATTTACACTTGTGCTAGCAATCGGAATCCGGACCATTCAACCTTTCAGTTTCATCCAATAACAAGGAGGAAATCATTTAGGGTATGACCATAACCCCATGCTATAATCATGAGTTATTGTTAATAAATGTGTAAGCAAAAGTTATTTTGTAAAGTCAGTAAAGGATGATTACCTGACTTATACTCATGGTTGGGACGGGGAGAATAAATTGGATGGGACCCGAAAAAAAATGTTTTAAAACTTCATAAAGGACCATTCATATTTGTTACAGAAATTGTACACCATATATTAGCCTGCGTTCCAGTCTGTCATTCTTATGTGCTTCTGTTCGGCTGATCGATATTATCAAAAACACGAACAAGTATGAAATAACGCGTATGTATGTAATGAATAAGCAAAAAATATCAACGCCTGAATGATAAAAGATCTCTCAAAGTGATCCTTTGCTTATATATCTTTTAAATAACAAAAACTTCATTCAATATCATTTTTTATATCATTTCAATAACTGTAAAATTTTAAAAGGTCACCAACTTCAGAAAAATTATAAAATAAAGAAAAAAAGTGATCTCAAAGTGATTTTTTCTTTTTATTTATCCTTTAAATAACAGGAATTGTCTTTAAAACTTCATTAAATGCCGTTTTATTGTTAAAATAACATTTCTACAATATTAAAATTTTTGGCCGTCAGGCTGCTGGGCTGCCAGGCCGCCAACTTCACAAAAATGAGAAAATAAAAAAGTTCTCTGAAAGTGATTTTTTCTTTTGATATATCCTTTAAATAACAATAATTATCTTTAAAACTTCATTAAATGCCGTTTTATTGTTAAAATAACATTTCTACAACATTAAAATTTTTGGCCGCCAGGCCGCTGGGCCGCCAACTTCACAAAAATGACAAAATAAAAAAGTTCTCTGAAAGTGATTTTTTCTTTTGATATATCATTTAAATAACAATAATTATCTTTAAAACTTCATTAAATGATGTTTATTACATGCTTTTCGGTGGTTTATAGAAATATATCAGTGATATAAAACTGGTAATTTCACTGTTTGAAACAGTGAAATTACCACTTTGATAATTTCACTGTTTTGAATTTAAGCCCCTTACGTTGTTTCAGTGAAATACCAGCGTGCACAGAACTGGGTACCAACTTAATGACGTGACGTCGTAAATGACGTCACGTTGTATTATTATTTGGCGCGCTTTTCATTCAGTATTAGGTTTAATGTCTTTTTAAAACGTTTGCAAATAATAAAAAGAAAATTTGTTTAGTTTAGTGTAAGATCGAAATATTTCACCTTGTGAACACCAACAGTTCATATTTCACTCGTGGCTGCGCCACTCGTGAAATATACCTTTTGGTGCTCACTCGGTGAAATATATTCCGATCTTACACTGAACTAAACAAATATCCTCTATTTTATTGTTAAAATAACATTTCTACAACATTAAAATTTTTGGCCGTCAGGCCGCTGGGCTGCCAGGCCGCCAACTTCACAAAAATGAGAAAATAAAAAAGTTCTCTGAAAGTGATTTTTTCTTTTGATATATCCTTTAAATAACAATAATTATCTTTAAAACTTCATTAAATGCCGTTTTATTGTTAAAATAACATTTCTACAACATTAAAATTTTTGGCCGTCAGGCCGCTGGGCTGCCAGGCCGCCAACTTCACAAAAATGAGAAAATAAAAAAGTTCTCTGAAAGTGATTTTTTCTTTTTATATATCCTTTAAATAACAATAATTATCTTTAAAACTTCATTAAATGCCGTTTTATTGTTAAAATAACATTTCTACAACATTAAAATTTTTGGCCGTCAGGCCGCTGGGCTGCCAGGCCGCCAACTTCACAAAAATGAGAAAATAAAAAAGTTCTCTGAAAGTGATTTTTTCTTTTTATATATCCTTTAAATAACAATAATTATCTTTAAAACTTCATTAAATGCCGTTTTAGTGTTAAAATAACATTTCTACAACATTAAAATTTTTGGCCGCCAGGCCGCTGGGCCGCCAACTTCACGCCGCCAGGCCGCTGGGCCGCCAACTTCACGCCGCCAGGCCGCTGGGCCGCCAACTTCACACATCTACAAAAGGTTCATTGCATTTTTACAAAGTTATGTATTTTTAGAAATTTATATTATTTTGAATATATCTAAAACCAGTTAAAATATTGATTTAAAAGTTATAATATAGGAAAGGTCATAACTAGGTTAAAAATATCAAGAGTTATGCTTTTTGTTAGTTAGATGTTTTTTTTAAAAAAATTACTTAAACTTCACTCAATAACTGTAATACCATTTCATTGAGAGCCAACATACTTCAAATAATGATTGTGTAATTGAGTAAAAGAATGGTATTGTTTTTGAGGTCAGTAGATTGATGGTTAAGGGCATTGGAATATGTATTACCAGTCTCATTGGCATGGCATTCATTTGCTTGAAAATTCGTTTACTCATCTAAGATCCATGCAGTTTCATGCCAGAACTATGTTTCTGGTATTTTTGTCAAAAACTAGCTTCAAATCTTAATTATGTAATCTTCTACCACAAGTGTTCAAATTCAAATTTTGCACAGAATCTAGATAACATATTAACATGTAGCTTAAAAACAAACAACATGAATCAGTATGTTGTAAATTCAGTAACTTTAAAGACCAGTAACTTTTTACATTTTGTTAAAATTTAGGTTGCAAATAAATTGCATGCTAAGAACAGACTGTCATATCCATGATATGTACCATAAGCTTTTTAACTCACCTGACCTAAGGCTGTAACCCCTCAATCTCCATTGTCCATTGTCAGTTGTTTTTTGTCTGAGCAAAAGCAGCTTCAGTTTTTAGCTGACCTGTTACAAAGTGAAAATGGTGAGCTTTTGCGGTCGCTTTTCATACCACGTCTGTCCTTAAACATTTATGTTAAACAACATCTCCTCATAAACCAAAATGTAGATTACATAGAAATGTTCCTTTGGTGGTCACCTTTTAAAATTGTGCAAACAAATTAATTCCATTCAAAACTCTGGTTGCCATGGCAACCAAAAGAAAAAAACTTAAAATATCTTTTTTTTAAAAAGTCAAATAGCTAGAGCTTATATATTAAGCATGAAACATTTCTCGTGTTTTTCTACCAATTTCGTTCAAATAAAAGCTCTGGTGTCAAA